TGCTACGCAGTGCGCCCCAAACACTGACCTTTTTCATCAGAGAATGAACTTGTACTTTGGTAAGTGATTAATCACATCCACAAGTCAGTTTTATTCTGTGGAATTCGATGGCAACCTGCTGCCTCGATTTGGTGCTCTGTCATTCTGAAGAAACATTGTGTATTCCTATGCTAACTTTCAGGGAAAGACTGAACACAAAGTATTTCATGGTCAGAAGCAATGTCAGAATAGCATCTACCACGCGGGTATTTCTTCCTGTAGTACAAGAAACCATATGCCGGCGAGAAGCCAACTTCTTCAATCAATTTGATTAACTCATAAAAGGAGATATCTTTTCTGTCCATGAATCCTTCTAGAACTTTATGTTGTTGATTCTCATCTTGATAGAAAAGGCAAATTTTCCAGATTTCCACAGCCATCTACAATGACATGGACGTAAGGAGCATCAGCACCAAACCAACCTTACAGTGGCATGAAGTGAAAAGAAGGTTGGCATGTTATTTGTAACGATCTAGGATTTATTCATACAGAAATGGAGGGAAATATATCAGCCTTGTGCACTTTGTATGTTCAGTGTTTGCAGAGTGTACGCACAAGCACCTTGAGCACTTTACGTCATGTACGATGAATTTCAGAGTATATGAACTTTTAAAAATTCAGTACTAATCAGAGTACAAGATCTGGGGCCCCCAATTTTGCATCACTGCTGCATATATCAATACTAAGCAGAGTACTAAGAATCTCATAGTACTATCAGTATTGCAGAAGATGTATTATTAATTTCAGAGTGCAAGATCTAGTGCCCGGCCCCAACTCCGTATAAGTACTCCATATATCAGTACTAATCGGGGGATTATAGCCTAAAACCAGGGGATTAAAGACTGAAACGTTTAACCGCAAAGAAGGGGGAAAAGGCAGCCAACATGTCACAAATATCTTCAAGAGATGCAGAATATACATGCCAATGCGATAGGATTGTAGCACACACAACTTCAGAGGAATAAAAATATTCAGAGAACATGGTACTGTTTTGCCATGCAATAATTCAGACTATAAATCATACTCGTACCAGTTTAGCACAATGACTAATGATTTCAGCGCACCCTCCATTCTTATCCTAGATTCACCACTGGCTGATTAACTACTTGCAACGAACTAATACCTACTACCAAATTCAGAGAGGAAGACACAGGGAGGAGGAAGAGAATCAGTCAGGATTCATAGTAGGGAGATGAGAGTAGAGGATCCCAGCCGCGAGAATTGTGGTAGTCCTTCTGGATGTAGCCGCCGGAGTCGAAGATCGACGATGTCGTCGCCGCAATGATGTAAACCACATTGAGGCAGATCTTGGCAGCAACAATTCAATCGGGCGTTGTCGGGCGGGCAGGCGGATGGGTGGGCGCTGAAGGGCGGCGTTGGATAAGGACGTGATGGGCGTTGGAGGGGTGGCGAGGTGGCCGCTGAAGGGCGGGAACAGAGGCTGCCGAACTGGGGCTTCCTATTGGATGAGGTGGTTGGGGCGGCATCCATTGGAGGGGAGGAAGGGTTGGGTTGCGACGGGGGCGGCGAGCGGGCTGAGGTGCGACCGCGGAGGCGGCGACGGGGGCGGCGAGCAGGCTGAGGTGCGGCCGCGACGGCGAGGGGGCTGGGGTGTGGCGGCGGCGAGGGGGAATAGATCGGCCTGGGCAAAGGTGAGGATCGAGGAGAGGAGCAGATGCGTACGGGTGTATTTTTTCATCAAACCGTTTTATCCTTCAGGCTGGCAGATTAACGATGGATTGCGGGTTGAATAACTAAAACATAAGGGACTTTTTCAAAAAAAGGCCGCGACGGTGAACCCGGAAACTCAATCCGTACTTTATTATTACTAGTACAGATGCCCGTGCGTTGCAACGGGCTAAAAATATCGTAAAACCTGCTCCGTATGACAGTACGGGCCATATCTTATATCCAGTTTTGATAAACATCGGTAATAAGTTAATAATGTTATCGCTTTTCGGAGTAATTTTTTTGGAGTTTTGTGCATTAAAAAAAAGCGTGAACATATTTAAAAGCATGAAGGTTTGGAAAGCAAGAAAAATTCACTCTTTATCTTAAAAAAACACGTACGCTCTGTGTCCGCACTTAAAAAAAGGATTGTTAGTGCCCAGACATACTATAAAGTTGAGAAAATCGTCGGGATGTCCTTTGATGGCTTCTCCTTCATCTTGGCATTATCATCGGCGTGGAAGAGGAATGATGTAAGTGTTTTTAGTGGGATATACAGATGGTGAAATTGTTTAATCCAAAAGTTTTTTCTTAGAATTTTTAAAAGATTTAAATGCAAATGAATTTATTTTGAATGGAAGAGTAGTGGTGCATTCAAATGGGATTGTTTATATACATTTTTTTTGTTGATATTCGAAAGCAAATAGGTTTTTACTATGCTGATTTTTTATAGAAAATGTTGGTTCCTGGGTTTGCAAGATTATGTTCCATTCTTTTTCATTTGCACTATTTGAACTTGGCCCAAAGATCGAACCTCACACACTCCCCATCATCAACATAAAAAGGAAAAAAATTCTAGTAAATTTTATGTGGAGGCCACGCCGTGTATGCCTTGTCTAAAATTTCACTCACTTTTCATTATTGTATCTGATAATGTGTTCATAAGATGTGGAAGGCATGAATTTATTTTTGGTGGAAGAGTAGTGGTGCATTCAAGTGAGATTGTTAATATATAATTTTTTTTGTTAATATTCAATTACTATGTTGATTTTTTTTAGAAAATATTGGTTGCTTGGTTTTCAAGATTATGTTCTGTTAAAAAAAGGTGCTCATTCAGGATTTTATTTTTTGCAATCGGTAGCACACACACCTGGAAATATCCAGCAGCTTCTGGTCGGTGGAGCCATTAAAAAAAGCAGCACCAAAAGAATCCCCACCGAGAGTTATCCTGCATGGAGTCCTCATTACCAGAGTAGCGCTGGCTCGTCTTCTCCGCCCCTACCCCCCTTCCAACGCGCGATGTGCTGCAGCCACACACACCCTGGTGGTGCTCTGTTCCAGCCATAACCCCCTCCACAACCAATGAACACTCCTCCCTCCCGCCCTGATGATCCTCGGTGCCAGGAGAGGACGCCGGAGCTGGGCGAAGCGCCTTGCTTGGGGCCTAGCTCTGTCCTATCCGTCGAGCGAAGCGCCAGGTCCGTCGTGCAGGCCGTGCTCCCCCGGGCCGGGCACTGTCTTGTAGTCGCCTTGCTTGGGGCCTAGCTCGCGGTGGTGACCATGCCCGGATTCGCTCCGTTCCCATTTTGATGCGGCTTGTTTTAATCCTCCCCATCTGCTTTTTTACAGATGTTGTTGATTCAACGGACAGACCTGCCGATCTGATTTCCCAGGCCGTCGCCTGTCGATTGATCCGATTTGGTTTGGACCTATGGCTGTTCTGTTAGCTGCTGATTGCGCGCTTATCTGATTCAGAGTTCTTCCTTCGAACTATGGATTGCGTGTATTCTCCCCTCTTTTCCCTCTTTGATTATAAGCTCCTTCGTTCTGTTCCTCCTTCACTGGTTGATTTCTGATGCGGCAAAGTCGCTCGCGTATATAAATTGATTGGATTGGATGCACATGAGCGAGGTGGGACTATTTTTGAGTTCTAATCCTCACAGAGAAGTGCGGGAGCCATGGAGGGGCGCGCTGGAGGGAGCAGCTTGGGTTCTCGCCGCCATGCTCGCCATGCCGTGCCATCTCTCGTTTCTCTCCTTCTTCTTGGTTTTCCCCTCTCTCTCTCCCCCTCATGCTTCCTCGTTTTCTTTGAGGAGCACGGCGGCGCAACCATGGCGCCACCCAGGAGAACCCCAACGCCTTGCAAGGTCCATCTGCCGCTCGCCTGGATCCGGACGCCGTCGTCGTTCCACGCATCCAACTCGTCTGCCACCACCCTGTGCAGACCTCACTCAATCGGATCAAGCGAGAGAGCCGCCTGCCGTCGTCCCACACGCTCGTTGACCCACCTCGATCCAGAGATAGGGGTGGGCCCGCCAGCGGGGTAGGCGGTGGCGACGCACGGCGGCGACCTGCGGGCACGGTGGGGCGGGATGGGCGGCGGGCTGGAGGTGGGATCGGGAGGCAGACATGGCCGAGGAGGATGGGTCATGGCTATTTCTTTTTTTCTTTTATCTCGCATGTACGGAGTACCAGTTTGTGTTTGTAACAAATGCAGGGGGTTTTATGCAAAAACTAAATGTTTTTCCAGGGTGTCACTTAAACAGGGACTGCGGGTTGATTTCAAAGAAATAGAGGGGGGGGTTCGCAAAATCGCGCGCGACGACGTACGACCAGAAGCCATCGGTGCTTTATTAGTAGGTAAAGACTAGCACAAATGCCCGTGCGTTGCAACGGGAGCAAAAAATACCGCACGCTCCCAGCCCAATAAGCATGGATCAAGACTCGACCACGATGTCCACCTGATCATAATCCATCTGAACGTGGTTAATCTCTAGGTAATGAGCTGAGCCACTGCACAAACATGTCTGCAAGGGTCGGCCGGGTTGAGGAACTTGGTCATGTGAAGTTGGTTTAAGACATACGACATGAGTAAGGGGTAGCTGGTTCGACAAACTATGTTTGTGGACTCGCCGGATATCAAGCTCGAAGCCCTACTACTTGAGCCTCTCAAGAAACCCAAGCGCCTGAAATCAGAAAGTCCGGGCAAAATCACACACGTGTGTTGTTCTAGCATACCATGTTCTAGCACATCTGGTAACTAACAACAACTATGAAGAATGCGACATTGACAAACAAAAGATGGTTGCTTTTGTAATATCATAAATTGCTTTCTCATGGTTTTGTAAATCTGATTGCACATATGCCGATAGGATGAAATTGGAGTATCCAATAAATCTAAACCAACTAAGAAAAAGTACAGCAAAAGCATGCCTTTCAAGTGAAAGATGGCCTGTAAATATCATGTTTAGGGGTGAAACTAAAGAACCTCAGAGGCTGTAAATTCAGATAATTTACTTTTCGTACAATTGACAGAGGATGCGGTTGATGATGCAGGGCGAGGCGAGGTGGAAGATGCCGGAGCAGCCACGCGCGGCGGTGAGCATGGTGGCGCCGCCGAGGAGGTCACACGGGAAGAAGTGGACACGGGCCTCGTCGCCGCCGGCCAGCGCCAGGAGGTGCTCCTTCTCGGCCTTGTCATCTGCGCCACGGAACCACAAAATCAAACTGTGACCTCCGCACTCCTTACACATAGGTCCACATCCCTTACTTGCGAGGATATATGGCTGCAAGTTCATATTCAAGTTAAGAAAGATCACAATGCATATCATTTATCTTATAAATATATCATACATGAAAAATTCAACCATTGAAGAAAATGAGGTGAAAGAGTGAACTTCTGGAATAAACGTAAAAGCCAAATGCCTTTTGGGGCAATGTAAGAGCTGCAATTAGAGAAAGTGGTCAAGAATGGCAATTAATATAAATGTTAAATAACATTCTAACAAAATAGTACGGTACTTATAGAAACGGGTAACAAATTTGGAATTTAAATTTGATTGAATGGAAAAAAACCTTCGCATTATTAGTGATGCCAATCCTGAAATAAGATGACCACTTGAAGGAAAGAGAAAAGCAATTTATTCGGAGCTCGTAGCTCAGAATACGAATTGCAGTTTCCAGCTTGACAGGTAAACATATACAGTTTCCCTTACATGTGTGCCCCTTCAGAATATTGCATTGCTCTCATTACCAAATAGAGGACATCAAATATTAAACCTGCAAACCAAAACATGTTACCATATCTATGATGAGCTGTATCTACTTCTTTTCAATGACATATTAATTAGGAGGTAGTAGCATGCAACATTTACAAATAAAAGTTTTGCAGTGCGCCGAGCGCCTCTCCAAAATTCCGGAAAGCTGAATCTTATCGTACCTGCGGGCACCTCCTTTTGGTCCTTCCCTTGGGACTCCATCTGAGACGGCTACACGGCCGCCCGGGCGATCATCACAGCGACTCAAGTTATTAACAGCAAGCCTATGTTTCCTCTCCTCTGAACATGTTGTGCATTCAATTTCACAAAATTATATTTCCAAAACATATCCTTAATATTTGATGATCTTCTACTGACACAAAACCCCCGCTGCCGCCACAATCTCCTAGCTGCACTCAATAAAGAATTCAATGTGTTGAACAGGCACACAAATACCTTGAAAGTAACTTCCTTATATAAACAGGCAAGAAGGAAAAACTTACAATGAGCAGGTTGGGCAGCTTCTCGTTCACCATCTTTTCAAGAGCTAGAGCCAACTCCATTGCTAAAACCACAAGAGGCGCTCAAGTAAGAACACATGAACATTTCACATGCTAGGTTCCACAAAAATGAAAGCAGTAAATCAGAGAAATATTTGGATTTAACAGATTGCTAATTTCTTTTTGATTTGTTTCGTGTCCTCCATGGATATTTGACCGACGGCATGTTGAGTTGAAAAGGTCATTGGAGAGCAGCTACATAATTGACCAACATGTAAAAACTGACATTTGTTTGACGAAGCTACATAACTTTACATACATCTACTAACTTTGATACCCTGTGATCAGGTGTTACTTTCCCTAGATGATTAACCTGGAACAATTGAGAATAAATACGATCAGTGCCGGTACCAATAATCAGTACAAATATCTAAAAATTTCTGTCTCGAGCAGGAGCACAAAGAGCATGACAGAGCATCACATAACTGATCCAAATCATATCTTCCTGTACAAAATTGGCCCAAGCAAAGCAAAGAAGAGCATACACAACAGCAGGGTATGATACAAATCCCCATCTGAACCGCTTCAAAATTTCCCCAGCTAAGCCCCTCACATACATTAGAAAAGATGCTAAGTGACGTGTTCACGAACTGACAATTATTCAAATCAGGGGAAAGATGAGTAGATCAATTGTAGCACCTTCAGATTTGGTGTATCTTCTCTTATTATATTCATGTAGTGCTGCTGCTTGCCATGTACGTATCAATCAAAATCTCTAATTTGTAAGATTGAAAAGCAACACATGAATGCATCTGCAAGACCGATGAATTTCTACATGGGAAAGAAAGAGGCAGCAGGTCAGCAATCGCAAGACTGACCTGGACCTTGGCGTCACCACGTGATGCGGGAGGCCCCAATTCCGTCTCCCGGATGGCCGGCGAGCCACGGCGTCCGGCGAGCAGCAGCAGCAAGACCACCGTCGCATCTCACCGCTCCCTCTCTCTCCCTCTGGCCTTCCATCCTTCCTTTTATCTCCCGCTCATCTCTCTCTTCTCTCACAGGTACCCAAAGCCATGCCGCGCCCACCAGCCATCGTGCTCCAAGCTCCGGAGGTCTTCCTTCCAGATCCACCGCCTACGCGCCATTTCCCACCGGATCCGGCGAGATTCCGACAGGTCCTCGCCGACCGTGCCACCGCGAGCACCTGCAAGGCCGCCACCGGTCTCGTGTGTGTTGTGGGCAACACCCCAGACCTTCCCGCTCGCATGTCTCTCCTCCACGCCTCCCATTTTCTCCTCCTTCGTCTCCGCGCGCGGCTCCCGCCTCCCTGCCGCCGCATCGAGCGCAGCGCCGCCTCCACTTCCTGCCATGGCCGCCCCTCCAAAGAAACGAAACGAAAGGACCGCGGGTTGAATGTGCCAAAACACAGGGTCTCTTCTGCAAAAACGAAACGTTTTCCAGATATCCACTAAATAAAGGACCGCGGGTTGAATTTCGCAAACCGCAGGGACTCTTTTGCAAAAGCGGCGCGACGGTGAATCCGGAGACCCGATCCGTGCTTTATTATTAGGGAGAGATTAGGGAGAGATATAGGCGGAAGAAGTACGTGGGGGGCCACGAGGGGCCCACGAGGGTGGAGGGCGCGCCCAGGGGGTGGGCGCGCCCCCCTACCTCGTGGCCTCCTCGTAGATCCCTAACATGCACTTCAAGTCTTCTGGGCTTCTTTCCTTCCAAAAATGAGTTCCGTGAAGTTTCAGGTCAATTAGACTCCGTTTGATTTTCCATTTCTTCGAAACCCTAAAACAAGGTAAAAACAGAAACTGGCACTGGGCTCTAGGTTAATAGGTTAGTCCCAAAAATGATATAAAAGTGTATAATAAAGCCCATAAACATTCAAAACAGTAGATAATATAGCATGGAGCAATCAAAAATTATAGATACGTTGGAGACGTATCAGGGACCGAATCATGAAACTCGGTCGGACCGGTTTGGTTCATAATGTGACCGTTAGGGTTTTCGATGGGGCCGACATGTCAACTCGGTGGGACCGATGTCATTAGGGTTAGGGAATAACTTCATCTCGGTGAGACCGATTACACAAACTCGGTAAGACCGATTTTGGTAATAGACTAACCAGAGAGTTGGTCAGGCAAACTCGGTGGGACCGATTCGCTCATCTCGGTTGAACCGAAACATTATGAAAGGGAAACAGAGAGTTTGCATTGCAATCTCAGTGGGACCGATCGCTCATCTCGGTTTGACCGAAACATTACGAAGGGAAACAAAGAGATTACAATCCCATCTCGGTGAGACCGAGATCCCTATCGGTGAGACCGAAAAGACTAGGGTTTCTGGCAGTGGCTATGTCAAGAGAACTTAGTGGCGCCGGATAGAAAATTTCGATGGGGCCGAGTTTAACTTTTGGTTTGGGACATATGTGGATATGAGAAAGTAGTTGAGGGCTTTGGAGCATATCACTAAGCATTTGGAGCAAGAACCTCATTAAGCAGCACCTCACCCCCTCTTGATAGTATTGGCTTTTCCTATGGACTCAATGTGGTCTTGGATCACTAAAATGAAAAATGTAGAGTCTTGTGCTTTGAGCTTGAGCCAATCCTTTTGTCCTTGGCATTTTGAGGGGTCCACTTTTCTAATTGTCGGGGGTTGGGTGCGACATATGCCAAAGGATGGCTTATCATGGTGGGGGCGAGTAGAACGTTGCCGGTGCCTGGAAACGGGATAAGGTGAAGGCATGCACGCCAGCGAATCTTACCCAGCTTTGGGGCTCTTCGGGGAGATAATACCCCTACTGCTGCTCTACGGGGTCTCCGCATGATCACTATGGCAAAGTGTTTACACGGTTGCTCCTCGAGTTGTTTCCTAGAGGTAGGAGAAGGCAAGGCTAGCTCTCTCCTTCCTATACGATCTGGTCTAGTGCTAATGGATTCCAACCCTTTGCATGGATGCCCTGGGGGGTTTATATAGGCCTACCCCATAGGTACAATGGTAATCCAGCTGGGCGCGGGCCCAGCCGTCAGTCTCTCTGGCCGTCGTCTTATCCGCCGACTCCTGGGGCCCGCCGACTGGCTCGGTACGGAGCCGACAGGCCGCGTCCGCCGCGGGCGGGTCTTGCCGGCTACAGATTACTGTAGTCATGCCTCTAACGATGCAGGCTCGGTCATGAGGTCGTGGCGACAGCTCCGCCGTCTGGCGGGCGATCACTGTGGCCACTACTTGTTGTGTCTGATTAATGGCGCGTGGGGCCCGTGGGAGGGGTTGGCTGACTTCTGGTGGCCGACTCCCATCCGGGCCGACTGGTGGCGCTTTCGCCGTCTTTCGTACGCCCGCCGACTGGTGGGACCCATCATCCCTGGGTCGTACCGGCAGGCCGTCATGGGCACAGGGCTCCGCCCCCTGGGGCTGACGTCAGGGCCGGCATGGCAATAGTGTCGCGCCGCGTGGAGATCTCCACGGGTATGGCCTACTGTAGCCATGCCTGCCCTTGGAAAAGGGGTGGGAGTGGACCTTACTATGGTCACTCCCCGTCCCATCCCTCTTTATGAGGGCATGGGGGTTGTTGGCGTCGCGGGCCAACTCCCCAAGGCCGGCTTCTATGGAAGTCTCCAGTCGGCAGTCGGCTTTACCCTGAAGCCGTTCCTAGGACTCGGCCGCCTCGCCGCCGACTCCTCAGAAGGCGTCTCTTCGTCCTGGGATCTCGAGGGGCGCAGTCTGCCTCAATGTCTTGAAAGGTTCTGGGCCTGGGTTAGCCTACCCGTGGCCCATTACTCCGACAGTAGTCCCCGAAGTTGGTGAGGCTCCGAGGGCGACATGTCATGGAGCCTCAACAGTTTCTTCTCTCCGGCGGTCAGATCTGGGCTTCGCAAGCCGTCTTCTGTCAAGCCGACTAGTTGGAGTCGGACTTGCTCGAGGCCGACTTGCCCCTAAAAAAGTTTGAACGTTGCGGCAGAGTTCAGGCGGCGTGCCTGATAATCTTTCGGGTTGCCGCCCGTGGTTGACCCGTCGCGAGGCGCCACGTGCCGGAGCTAGTCTGCTCACCCACGCGCGCGACGGGAC